TGTGTGTTTGTGTGTGCGCACGCGCGCGCAGGCAAGTCTATATATTTACACTGTGGGTTTCTTGTGGCCTGGATCCATTAGACGCAGGGTGTCCCTGATCACGCCCACTTTGACCTCTTCATCCACCGGACTGGGAACATATTCAAAAACTCCGGGTGCCACCTAAAAAATGCAAGCACTGCTTACAGCAAAAAGAAATAAGAGGCTTTAAAATATGATGATGTTGCTGCTGACATTTCACTCTTACCTCCTGCTCATGCTCGATTCTCATACTAGGGTTGGAGTTGACTTCTAACAGTACGGGCTTTAGGTTCTTCATGAGCAAGATGTCAAAGCCTAATATCTGAAACACACCCACAGAATGTCAACAACATACTTTCTATACTGTATATATTTAAAATTCTCAAATATATACAAATAATGAGGATTGATGAAAAGTCATTAAGGCTTAAGAAAATATTTACGTGTGATCAATATAAAGTGAATCTTATCTGATTATTTTATTTATTGTATAATTACTTGGAAGCACGTGGGTCCTGGTTTGCCAGGTGGTATGTCAGCCTGGTAGTAGACTCTAAGTTCAGGCACCACGGCGATGACAGTCTTGATGACAAGGGCGATGATGTCCGACCACACCCTCTTGATGTCGACACCTTTAGCTGCTAATCTGTACAGCACGCTGGAGAGAGTACGCTTGCTGCCGGTGCTCTGGCTGTCTGAGTGCACGAAGTTGCCGCTGTGGACGTTGAGCGAGTAGTTTGTCAGGTGCATGAAGACGTGGCTAAGATTCTTCTGACTTGGCTCCTTCACAGAAACACAAAAAAACGAAACGAAGAAAATCAAAAAGAAAAGAACAAAATTTGTTACCTTTAAGGTCACGGCTTCACAGCACAGTTTGCTGACACCATCGTGGCTACCTGATACAGCTCGGTGCAAAAACGTGTCAGTCCCTCTTTGGCAATGTAGATCTCCAACGGCTCCAAGGACTTTATAAGCACGTAGAGCCGGATGTCGAACTTAAGTTTGTCAATAAGTAACGGCTTTTGGATGTACTCCTGGACTACGCCCTGTTTGGCCTGCGAACCCGTCATGAGCTTGAGGTCACTAGGGTCACGGATGAGGTAGATACCGTCCCCCTGAGAGCCCCCATCTGGTTTGACAATGAAAGTGGGATTCACTGTAGCATCCTTCTCTTTCACCATGTGAATCTGCAGCAGAGGGAAAAGGTACACCACTGAGTGTAAGTCAAGGAAGTTTAAACATGTTTATATTGTTGATGCTGTATCAAAACAGCCTACTGAAAGACCACACGAACTGGGAACGTAACAACTTGTTATGAAACACATAGAACCTGTAGAAAATGGTTATTGTTCATCGTCTCAGCAGCAGTAGCAACCGATAGGTGGAGAAAAGTTGTAAATTACTCAGGTGTTTCTTTTTGTGAAATATACACTGCTCAAAAAATTTTAGAAAAAATATTTGTCTTTTCTATACTGATATGGACTGGTTAATGAGTCGGGAATGAAAGGATTGCACATTGTTTCTTCATCCTCTAAGAACTGCCTACATAATCTCACCACACTGCCGTGCACCAGCAGGAACCCGGGATCCAGTGCACCAACCTTACAATGGGCCAAAAGATTTCATTCCTGTCCCTGGTAGAGGTCTGTGAGTTCCACCATGGATATGCCTCCCCAGACCATCACTGTCCCACCACCAAACATGCTGTTACAGGCAGCATCAGTGGCCTCAGTGACTCATTGTTGCCCCTCTAGCGCATCTGCTGTTAATTTCATTAACACCAAAGCAGCTCAAACTGATTAATAACCCCCTCTGCTACTTAAATGACCAGATCAATGCTCCACGAGTTTAACTGACCTGATGCTACACTCTGATTAAACAGTGTTCCCTTAATTTTCTATAAGCAGTGCAGTTAAATAAATTCATTATCTTAACTTGCAGCTGCACAGGAAGTAGTAATCAAAGATTTGGTTAATCTGAGGTTTACAAACAACTCACATTTCACTCGCTGGGCCCACGTCCTCATTTTAGGTTTGACACCGTTTTAGTAGATAAAGGTGAATGGCTTAAACATGAATTGAGCTGTGGTTTGGGGAAGGCCTTGAAGGGGACTGGCGGCGGCTCCCGGGCCTGGCAGATCCCCATGTACCAAATAGAAGTGAAGAAGTGGAAGAAGTGAAAAGGGGAGGGAAGGTGGGGCACGTAAACAAGAACGAACACCTTGTAGAACTGGGGGATCATATATAGATAAAAACCGGAAGGAACGTGTTTGGAGGCGTGGTCCCACTCGTGAAATTCAGATACTTTATTTCCATTTACCTGCACTACCAATCATTTCACCTCTACCTAAAAGATGAATATTCAATCTTTCAGTGAATTATTATTTGTCTTCACTATACATTTGTCTTCAGCCTGATTTGTTTTATAATACTGAGTCATGGCCTAAAGGTTTTATAATAAGATAAAAAGCAATATTCTGGTGCCCTCTGCTGGACATAACATACAGTTGCAATGAAATCTCAATTAGAAGAACTGACCACGTATTCATCTGAATACATCATCAAACTATTTTAATATTTTAATATTTTGGAAGAAAATACAACTTTTTTGTAATCAGATATTCCTGTATATCTTAATATTGCATAAACAGTACATGCAGATAATAAAACACACATTTTTATTTACAAAACCAAGAAAAAATATGAGTAGACTACATAAGGTCAGCATCTGTGTTCATCACTTGGACTAACTTGGAGAACTTGAAAGAAACACTGAGTCATCCATGAGTGAACCGATCATCTGTATTTGTATTTTAAAGCCATTCCCAAAAGGTAAAGAAGACTCATTTCAATAAATTTATTGAGGTCATTGCTGCTGTGTTTGGACTCACTTTGTAGGACACCTGGTGCACTAAAATTAATACAGCTACTACTACACTTATCACTGGTATGCTTCTACAAGGCCTGCTGTGGTCTGCCTTTGCAGCTGACTCAACCTACCCATTTGACTTTCTCTCATTTTGACCAACATCTAGTTTTGGTTTATGGTAATAACAGCTCATCTGTCTCTTTTAGCTTTATTATTAACACAAGCAAACTAAATTGCCCCCTTGCTTCTTATTTCAAACAAGACACTATTATTGCTACTTCCCCACATGAGAAGAGGTTTCTGGACTCAATTTACCAGATTAAAGTATAAACATTATATCTTGGAAGAACTCCAATTTCCATTTCTCACCTTTTGTCATCATATTCACATGACTTTAGCTCACTGAAAGAAGCTAGCCACACATAGCTTCCATGTTTCCCCTTCTATAGTTACACAGAAAAACAGTTAAAGACGCTCAACAACTGTTTTCATATCCAGTGTCATCATTTTTATTTGTGTCAATTTTCTTTCATTTATTTTGAACGTACCTGTGTGGTAAACTGTTGGTACTCCTCAGGCAGGATCCAGGAACGGGGATAGAAGTCGTATTCTTCTGGGAACAACTCCTGCATAGTCCGAACTGCTCTGCTGAGGTTGATCTTTCGCAGCATTTCGATCATTCCTGCACGGACAGTTTTACATAAGAAACTGAATACACGATTGGCACGATTTACACTCACTGGTCACTTTGTTAGGTGCACCTCCTCAACTGCTCATTAACACCAATATCTAACTAGCCAATCGCATGGGAGCAAATCAGTGCATTCAGTCATATAGACAGCCAGGGAAAGAAAGGTGATTTTAATCATTTTCCAACACAGTATTGAGCTGATAGGAAGGCAATGAACTCAAATCACTAGTTACAACCAAGGTATGCAGAAGAACATCCCTGTATGCACTAAATGCAGCAGAAGACCACAACATGTGGCATTTGTGTAAGCTAAGAACAGGAAACTGAAGCTAAAATTCACATGCGCTCAACAAAATTGGACAACAGCAGGTTGGAAAAATGTCGCCTGGTCTGATGAGTCAAAAACATCCACCCCAGTGACCTGCTGGAGGTCAGAATTTGGTGTAAACACCATGAAAACATGTATCAATCCTGGTTCATATCAAGTTCAAGCTGTTGCTGGTGGTGTAATGGTGTGGGTAATATTTTCTTAGCACTCTTTGGGCACCACAGCCTACCTGAGTATTCTCGCTGACCATGTCCAGCCTGTTATTACCACCATTTACCCACCTTCTGGTGCCTGCTTCCAGCAGGATAAAGCTTCATGTCATAAACCTCAAATATCCTCAAACTGGTTTCTTGAACGAGAAAATGAGTTCAGTGTACTCAAACAGCAATGTGGACCAATCTCTCTGAGGAGTATTTCCAGCACGTTGTTGACAGTGAGTGTAAATTGTTCAGTAAATGTAACCAGTTTCACAATAAGCAGAATGATTGCAGAGAAAGACTATTAACCATTTTAACAACCCTTGTAGGCTCAGAATAAAGTGCCTGGGGTAATGTAGGACAACACTATAACCTGGTTATGATAACAGAATCCTGAATCCATACTGCAATAAATAATATGTGATTTGCTGCAGGTTGTAGCAAGATAAGAAGAAGTGAGAGGAAGAATCTGTGAAATACCTGGGAACTTGTTGACCTGCCCTGAGACGATATTTTCATTGTCATGAAAGGAAACGCCGTGCCAGTAGATATCACAGGCTGTTCGCCTTCCTAAAGGAAACTGAGGGGGGGGGGGGAAAGCAAGAAAGAACAGTGAAAGGGAGACATAACAGAGGGCTGAAAACATACAGAATGATGAGAACAGTTCATTAAGGAACTCGTGTTTGCAAACAAGAACGAAGGCTAATCTATTAGGACTACTTAGGACATTAGGAAGGTGTTTTGTCCTCGCAGTGAACCGAGAAAACGGGGATAATCTTGCCCAAAGATGGCAGGTAAGTGCGTGTTATGTTGTGAAGAGCTGGGAAAGAGGAGGAGAAGTGATACTATAAAGAGGATTTACACAGCGAGGAAATCCTGCTGGCACAGGGTAAAGGACAGTTTTGTCCTTTACACCTCATCTGCTCATTCTCACGCACACACTCCAAACCACACAGAAGCCACGCAGCAGAGGTGTGGGGAATCCATCCAGGTATTGATAATAGTAGATAGTAGCAGTATTAGTACACACCAGTGCTGGTATTGGTATTGGTATTGGATTGACGCTAACATGATAGATTGATAGCCCACTGAATTGTGTTACATAAATTGTTTTTTTTGGAAATGAAAAAATACACCTCAAACATGCACTATGAAAAATGTCTAAAACCTTTTGTATTGACTCAACATAAGCCAACTTTATAAGTTAAAAGTATCGGTATTGGCAGTGGTACCAGCAATACTGGCCATGTATTTATTTTTACATAAAATCTGCACTATCGCACAGCACTACCTAACAATAAAAAAGCTACATAAAAGCAAGATGAACAAACAATCAGTCTGAGAATGAATTATGTGCACAATCTTTAGTTTTTCAGCCCTTAAAGTCTCTTACTTATTGTAAAGATTCGTCACATCTGATAAATCAAACACAGCCTAAATTCAACTTTGACTCGACCCACTCTGCTGCCTCGCTGCAAGATAAACATCTAATTAAGGACTTAGTGAGAAACAGAGTGACCGGTTCTAAACCCTGCCACACAGATGCCAGAGAAGTGAGGTCAAATTATTTAGAGCAGGGATCACACCATAAAAATAGCCCTCTTGTGTTTGCATGGACTGGTTAGCATGTGACGTATGGGAAAAGTTAGCTTTCAGAACCACTTTTTAATGGGGGAAAAATAAACTTGGCTTATAGGTTGCTGCAACATAGATATTTCAAGTTGCACCCAATCTGTCATGCCTCGAGTAAACAGCATTTATAGTTTCCAACAGAAGCTCCAAGGAAGCCTTTAGGTGTGAAGTATTTTGAAATCCATACGCATCGATTCAGAACGTCAGCTTAGTCTGTGGCATCCTCATGAAAATCCCACGCATATGTTGACATGTACGGTCATTAGTCTAATATTCCAAGCTGACCCTCACGCTGCCATCCTCTCTTCCACAAAGAGGACTAAAAGTTGATTGGATTAGAGGAGCTATTTAAGGCTAATGATTTCCCACTGTTTAAGAGAATGCCATATGCTGAAAGTCAGCTGACAGTGCAGATGTAGAGACGTGGCAATCTGGATGCACCTTAAAAGCCTCATCAGTCTCTAAAATGTTGACAAACTTTATGAAATATATTTCAACGTGTTGCTGAAACAAATTTCATAAAGTTACGTGTCTTACAACTCACTGAAAGGGTGTTTATTCAATAATGGCAAAACCAGCCTGCCTGCTTCAGTTTCAGCCCCTTCAGAGTGGTTGACAGCTACTTTCAAAATGACACAAGATCTAAAGCACCACCGGCTTTGTTGGGGGTTACGGTGCGGACCAGGTGTGGTAATGTATAGGCCTTCTGTCTGTCATTTTCTGCAGGAGCTGTAAGCGTTGCTGCTCGGTTGCCGTGGCTAAGGGGAGCGTTTATTTCGCCTGTCTCATCGAATTGTCTTTTTTCACCTGTCATGCATAATGAAAGATGGGTAATAACGCCTGATAGCAGGTATTAATTGCATCACATTCAAAATTAACAGATGGTGTTTACAGCTCAGATTAAGAAGAATGGGATCAAGTAGGCTGCACATAAATGTTTGAAAGCTGTCAATTAGAACACATCAACAGCCACCCGCTGTAATTTCATACATCGGACCCATGTGGACTGAAATTCTCAGGCTCCTGGTGAAATTGATGGCAATCCTGTTTCGTAGCATCTTAATAGTTATAGGATAAAAAGTGATTATACTTTGCAGTTACCAGTTAGCCAATTTACTGATTTTGGTCCACGAAACAACTGAAAAAAGCGGCTGCCAGGCAACAAGATGTAATAAAAGCATTAAACCTTTCATTCAAGTTAGGCTCTTCGGGCAGAACTGCACCACTTGATGCTCAAGTTTTTTCACTTTCCAAGATCTCTACAGTGGCAAAATGAGGAAAAGTCAACTTGAATTTCTTTTTGGTGAATTGGACAAAGTCACAGGGAACCAGATGTAACAACAGGGTGGGTGGAGTTGGTAAACGCCTGCTCTATTAAATGTGGTGCATCTGTCTGCCTCTGAATTTTATGACAGTATAGAAAGTAAGTAGAAAACCGCCAATAATGTGAAGCCACTCTTTTACAACTGTTTATAGAGATATAAGAAGGAAAAAAAATAAGAAGTATATTCTTCCTCCCCTCTAGCCACTCACAGATGGCTGCCCCTCCCTGATCCTAGTCCAGAGATTTCTTCCTGTTAAAAGGGAGGAGACTGAATCAGATTCTGATACATTTTGGCAGTTTAAAACTGGTTCTTAATTCACTTCAGTTTTATTTCTGTAGTGCTAAATCACAAAAGCAGCCCTTTTAACAGGAAGAAATCTCTGACAGAACCAAGCTCAGGGAGGGACAGCCATCTGCCACAACCAGTTGGGGGTGAGGTGAGGGAGACAGGACAAAAGAAATCCACTGAAAGCATTATATTAATAATAACTAATGATTAAATGCAGACTGGTGTGTAAGCACAGCGTTGAAAAGGTGAGTGAACAAGAAACACTCAGTGCATCATGGGAAACCCCCAGCAGCCTAGCATAACTAAGGAAAGGTTCAGGGTCACCTGATCCAACACCAACTACAAGCTTTATCAAAAAGGAAAGTTTCAAGCCTAATTTTAAAAGAAGAGAGGGTGTCTCTCTCCCAAATCCAAACTGGGAGCTGGTTCCAGTGAAGAGGGGCCTGAAAGCTGAAGGCTCTGCCTCCCCTTCTACTTTTAAATACTCTACAATGACGAGTAAGCCTGCAGTCTTAGAGCAAAGAACTCTATAGGGATGATGCATTGCAATAAGGTCCTTAAGACAAGATGGGGCCTGATTATTCAAGAACTTGTATGTCAGGAGCAGGATTTTTAATTTGATTCTGGATTTAACAGGAAGCCAATGAAGGAAAGCCAATAGGGGAGAAATATGCTCTCTGTTTCTAGTCCCTGTCAGTACTCTTGCTGCAGCATTTTGGATCAACTGAAGGCTTTTCAGTAAGTTTTTAGGGGAGTCTGATAATAATGTGGTTAGCACTGTTGCCTCACAGCAAGACGCTCCTGAGTTCAACTCCACCACCTGGCTGGGGCCTTTTTGTGTGGAGTCTGCATGTTCTCCCTGTATTTGCATGGGTTCTCTCCGGGTACTCCTGCTTCCTCCCACAGTCCAAAGTCATGCAGTTATTGGGGTTGGGTTAACTCCAGACCCCCCACGACCCTGAATTAAATTACAGTAGTCCAGCCTAGAAGTAAAAAAAAAAATGCATGAACTAGTTTTTCAGCATCACTCTAGGCAGGATGTTTCTAATTTTAGAGATATTGTGCAAATGCAAGAAAGCATTCCTACATATTTGTCTAATATGCACATTGAAATACATATCCTGGTCTAAAACAACTCTCCGCTACCCACCTCATCAGATCTCTGAGTTTATCTTGTGCTTTTGTAACATGTTTATGTTACGAATATAACCATAAATAGAAGTATAAATACTAGCCAAATTACTGAATACCATCTTCGTAGTTCCTGGTACAGTCAGTGCCTCCAGGAGTACATTTTGCCATGATGACACACGCACACAGGCAGGGAGACATGACTCAGAAAAGGAAAAACAACACAAGCCTTGTTGTCGCCGCTGGTAAAAAATCCACATGACATTTCTTTTTTTAAAAAGTGCATTTAGCAGTGAAAAATATACACCAGCAAGCACTGACAACAGTCGCCTGTCTTTAGGAATCCACTTATTCCTGCATCAGTTCTGCTGTTGTCATCTGTTTCCTCAGTTTTTTTTACAACCTCAAACACTCCTACACAGATTCAGTCCATCATCTGAATAAATATAAGTTTTGTGACTTATATTTATTCACAGAGGTACGTCCAAAATGGCAGAGCTGGAAAAGTGAAGAGAAGACTGTCCACTGCGGTAATGGTTAAAAGCAGCAGTAGTTACAATTATAGGATTCTTTTGGGACAGCTATTAAACACAGAGTAAAATAAAGTATTCTAACTTGTAGTGGTTCAGCACAAAGTGAAAACCAGAAGCCTCAGTTAAAGGATCCACCAGCCACACCAGTTCTGGCACAACTAAGAAGTGACTAGAGATGCCAGGCGGTGGATTAAGGTAGAACTGAATACTTCAGACACGGTTCTTGTTGGCTCGTGCTTACACAACAGTAAGAAACCAGTTGTTACACATGGGCAGCCACCTAAATGAAGCTGATGTTTGGGCTTCCCTTTGGATGTTTCCATTAACTGGTGCTTGGCTACACCAGCTGTCCTGTTACCACAAGAGTAAAACCTACACAGCACACGGGACACCATAAGAAGACAGTCCATTTGTAACACACCTCTTTCCACTTTAGCTGCTTGATGCTTATCTTCAGTGCCTCCAGAGAGGTTTTGGCTTTTGAAGTGTCTACCGTCACAGGTCTCCTCTTCTTTGCAAGCTTGAATCCCTCCTCTCTGCGCATCTCTTCCATGTTTTTGGATGTGTGGATGGTGACATAGTTGCCATTGGGCTCTGACTTCCGCTGCAGTATCTTTCCAGTTCCCTTGACTTGAAGCGTCCGCTCATACCCCAGTCTGTTTAAGTTTTTCTCAGAGGAAACTACAGAGCCTTGCGATGCCACATCAGAAGTGTGTCTCTTGTCCTCTCTGCCCGGCTTACTGCGACTTTTACCTGTTTGTTTGCAGGGAAGAGAGGTGCTGGATGCATCTGTGCCGGTGGGATGATCTGGTGAGACAGAGGCAGAAGGAGAGGAGCCCGGCACCTGCTCTTCTGTATCCACTCCCTCCTTCTCTGCATCTTCACCAAATGATTTCATTTGCTCGACTTGAACCTTGACATACTGATCACTCATTATGCGAAACGCGATGTGTGACGCCTCTGGCCAGGGCACCGCTGTGCCACAGGGTGCAGTAATCCGACGCCGGCGAGCTAACGGTGTTCAAATACAATGAAGTACGCATTGCTGGCTTAAACGGCCAATTAACAAATGAAAGCCATTTCTCTGCGGTCAGCTCGCTTACCAAATAGAGCAAAGGGATGCCCTCAGACGTACACGTTACTGAGCAAGATAACGCTTGACCATCCCAGGCTTGACAGCTAGCGTGTTAACCGGCTGGTCACAATATTTAACTATCAGCTTCGAGCAGCTAGCGGTTCTCTCGAGCTGGCAGCTAGAGGCAGGCGGCACTTGTAGCCAACACTGCTAGCTCCTTAAAGGGAGCTAAACCCGACGTTAGCCTGTCAAACTTCATTCGGCTAACGTATGGCTCGGAGCCAGGTTAGAGACACTAAGCCTCAACTCATGATAGACTTTATCTTACCAGCAATGATATCTACTTAGCATAGCAGCGCCCAGCGTTACGACGGAGCCCACAGTCCACTGCTCTACAGTATGTGTGTGTGTTGTCCTCCCTGTGTTGTTAAGCAGCAGAAGCCAGTGTACAGCGCGTCGCCCAGCCTCCATCTGGTTTGGAACCCAGCTGATGCTGCCTTTGGGGTTCCTCGTAATTCCCTGTATTCCCATACGGCTCATCACCGTATTATTTGATCAAATGAGAAACGGTCGCTTTTTCCACACCAAGTGGTTTACAATCTGTAGCTTTAATTACGGTGAGTATGTGTGTTTAATTATCTATTAATTCAATTTGGTGGTATTGCAAAGCCAGGGGAAAATGCTCTGACAAAGAAAGTCTAAATTCCATTCATAGCGAGGATAATCTGTGCACCTTGAAGCAGGTGCCTTTCCCATGTATTTATTTAGTGTAAATATCATGTATAGTTGTAAAACTATGCAGTGACTGTGTGCACTGTGAATAACCTCTTCTTCAATATCAGCACACTTATACGCTGACAAATGCTCTGGTTATTCTAGAACTCGGTCATCTCTCTCCATGACAACAGCAAAAACTCTGCTCCTAACACAAGCGCAACACATTTCCGGAGGACTAGTTTTTCCCAAACTGTTTTCGGAAAAGATACCACTATCTATCAAGGATGGACGCAAGTAATTCCACACCTCATGGATTAAAAAGTTTGCTGGAGAGTTTATCCAGAGCAGCTCTCCTGGCGCAGCCAGATGACATCCCACGGTTCCTGTGTGCACATGTGGAGAACATGATCAAATTCAGCGACGATCAACAGTTAAAAGACATCATCGAGGTCATCTTCCGGTATCAGTGCCAGTGGGGTAAATGCGATGTTTTTAATGTTAAGAAGGAGTACCTTAATGGAAGTCCTTCTTGTAGAGACAAACTTGGAAGCTTTCTTTCAACGGCTCAGGGCACCTATGTTAAGTTAACTGTATTTCAGTTAATTACCGGGACATAAGCACTACAGAATTGTCAGTCAAATTGACTATGACTGAGAGTGTAATTCCTCTGTAATTAAATTGAATTTCAATGCATTTAATTTGAAATTACAACGTAATTATATTTAACCACACATATCTAAAGGGGGCTACACTAGAATAAGAGGGTGACAGTTTTTATTTTTATTTATTTATTTTTCTTACAAAAAACAAAGAATACTACTGTAAGTACATGTAAGTACTTTTAAAAACGGCATAAAAGGAATTGTAAACACTGCATAACTTTACATATTTTATAGGAAACAAGAAGTACTTACATCGTAGGTAAATAGTGGATAAACTATTTTAAATAGTGCCTAAACTGTGGGTGTTTTACAGGAAAAGGATGTGCAAAGTATTCTGTAGGTATTTTTAAGTAGTAAATTTATAAAGTTATAATTTATGTGGTTTATGGGAAAGAAGAAATAATGTGTAGTAAGTCTCTCTCTCTACATATATATATAGACTTACTACGCATATATGTATATATATATAAA